ATCCTAGAAATTAGACTTACTCTGGTCATATCCATCCATTTGACAGGGTTTTCGGTGGTACGGAAAACCTGAAAAGTTTGAGAAAGTCAGGAAATCCACGCCAAGTTAAGGAAAATCAAAGAATTCATAGGAAAAGTCAAAGAATTTTGCGAGCAAGATGTAGCAATGCGTACATGTAGCATGGTTAGCTAGTGCGTAACCGAAGGAAAAAAATCCAACATTACTAAAATTGTAAGTGAAAGGCTCGTTTAAAGGTCAGGAAAAATCAGGAAATTTGAGAAGTTTTGAGTCAGAAAAAAGCACAGAAAGATAGGGAGAAGTCAGGCACTTGGTGATGGAAGAAATTATGAAAACCCTGATTTGAGCTCTCTAAATTTTTATTACACGATTGTGGTTGATTCTTCTCGGCCTATTTTATACAAAAATTTTTTGGCGATTAAGCATATTATCGTGGAGGGTTTGGATTCGATCGACATGAATGATCGGAAAATAAATACGTAAACCGATCGAAGTTTTATTCGACCGCTAACGATTCGATCGACAGAATTCAATCGATTTCGGGTTTGCCGATCGGTCCACATTTTTATTCTTCGATCGCATGGATAACGTTTTTTTAAAAATAATTTTGTCGATCGAATCGGTGCCCATCGGTTAACGTGCATTGATTCATGGTTTTAGTTTTCGATCGAATCCATACCCTCCTATTACCTAGAGTCCTATGTCACTCCCGAATGCTGATACGCGGTTCTTCCTCGAATCGACGATTCAGGCGCACGCATTGGACTCGGAACGACGCGCACGGACGCGCGGCGGGCGCATTGCATGGTAATTACGGGGATCTTTGTGCAATGGAGCCGGGTCATGTTTGTTTTCGCGTTTGATAATGAACCGAGCGCCGAGCAACAAAGCGCCCGGTTACACGGCCCGGAATTACACGCCACCGCACCCGGCGACAGAACCGCGCATCCCCTCGGAATCGACGTGGGAGACACGCGTTTCTCCACGTACACGGGCTCGAACAATCGCGACAAGACCGTACAAATACGGCCCCGTTCGCAATGCGCACGGCCCCTGATTGTTATTTAATTACGGATCTATGTTTCCTTTTTTTTTCTTTTTCGCTTTTTTAGTTTTTAATTAAACGAGCCGGGCGGGGCCGGGGCGGGCCTTTGGTCGTCCTACGCGGGGACGCCGGCCCCGGACTGGGGACCGCCACACTCGCACAACGTTGCCAGATTTAGCACTTTTTTATTTTATTTATTCATTTTTGAATTTTGACGTTGATAGATTGTAATCAACGATAGCGAACTGGTATAGCGGGATTGAGAATGTTGATCTGCAACACTGGAAATAAAAGTCTGTAGTGTGATCGCGGATTTTCCGGTAATCTTGAAAAGCTGTATAATCCAGGAACTTCGGTGAATTTTCCGGCAAAAGCAGAAATTCCTGGGGACAACCTCGATACTTTTTCCGGTAAACTTACTGTTTCCCATACAGTTTAACCAAAATTTTCCGCGTTATACCCATTTAAGTCATCTCTTTTGGTAATGAGGATTATAAAAATAATTAGGTACGCTGTACCATCACTAGGAAGGTGGTAGATTAATTTACCGTCAATTTTAGGAATTTTCGAGAGAGGATCGCGCTCTTTACCCTTTATCCTCCTTTGTCTACAGCTTTATCTATACCTTTGTCTATAGCTTTGTCCATCAATTGAAATTAGCAGCCCTTTGCTTCGGCTATATATTCGCCGGGAACCGCAAAGCCCTAATTCCCGCGATGACGAGAGACGAGACAACGCCGGGGCGACGCGCCACGGAACTTATTTACGGTATCAGCGACTGCATTAATCTCCGTTTCCTTATTTAATGTTTTCTTTTCAGCTGGATGCGCGCCTCCGTCGTCCCCGTCGTGACTCCAAGGGCGCGTTCCGTTCGGGCCCTCATTCTTCTCCGTGTGCAATTGTGCGCGCGCATGCGCCAATGAGAAGAAAGCACCGACCGCGGACGCTTCTTCGCCGAATCGGGATCTCTTGACCGCTCTGCCGTGCTAAGGAAGAACGCCGTATGAGCCTTCAGACGTTGCCAAATTTCCTTCGATAAAACGCGAATTTACAGGAAAAATTGTGAATATTTGTTTCTAAAATTTTCAGACTTTGTACACAATTTAATCATCTGAAATACCTGAAAATTTCAAAGAAAAATATGCATAACAAAACTCAAAAATACATGTTGTATTCGGGAAAATTTGGCAACTCTCGAATATTCATACGGCGTTTTTCCTTAGCACGGGGGCGCTGCCCTTCCGCGATGGTGATGCAATCGCCGATCGCCAGCACCGGTCGGTACCGGGTCGCATTTTTGCGGTGAGAGGGAACCGAGGATCTTCGTCTCCCTCCAGAAACATCTCTCTTCACTCTTAACTTTTAAAAAAGAATATTTCTAAGTTTTCTTTAAAATGCGTACTTTTTTTTAGAGACATTTGGCAACATTCGAAAGGTCATACGGCTTTTTCCCTCGGCATGGGTTTGCATGTCTGTCGACTTATTGGTAATCTCTCAAATGTAAGGAAGTAGGTCCTCAGGATAGATCAAAACATTCAGATTACAGCAAGTCGATGGATGCAACTTAATTAACTTCGGTGTGGCGTTGGGTTGCGTCGCTAAATTTGAAGGCGAACCAGCGGCGATTCCGTTCTGAAGCTATTCGGCGCTACGCGCCGCTCCAAATGACATGGTTTATGTATCACTGTCATCTTTATTTCACGATGAAGGAAAATTCGTTGTTCAGGCATGAAAACTATGCCGCCTTGCATAGGGAAAACTCCGCATGTTTGCAAGGGCAGGGAAAACCTGGAATATGCTACGAAGCAGACTTCCTGTCGCACTTTATTGTTTCATTGAAAAACTAGTCAACCTAGTCTCTTGAAAACTTCCTCAATTTGTCTTGCCTATCAATGGAATATTCTGTATACTCAAGCCATAAAGTTCGTTTCTTTTTGAAAAAATAAACATGGAGCGGAAATTTTGAAACTCCGCAATAAAGATATACGTTTTTTTGTTCATTGGCCATCTATATTATCAATCGATTCACTTGGAAACCACCACATCTGACTGTGAAAATTTACAAATGAAAAATGGCAAACGAACCAACCAAAATACTAGAAAGCAAGCTAAAAACGCATAGCTGGACCCCGAACGTACTCCAGCTTCTAGGATCCCGACCGATTTCCCCGCCTTATTTTAATTACAATATCACGTTTCCCGGTAATCCTTTGGACCTCAACGCCACATCCACGATGCCCGGCGTATTAATTGCCCTCACGTGACCCGGTCAGTCGTCTAGGAAGGTGGGGCCCACCCCCCGACTGCCCCTCACCCGGGGGACGCGGGGGAGTCTCACGGCCGTCGTGTAACTTTCGCGACGCGACCGAGCGAGCAACAATTGGACGTACTTATGCTGAAAGGAACTATGTGCATAGGATTTGGATGTGACGTAGTTCCTTTTAGCATGAATACGTCCAATTCGAATGTGGGATCAAAACCCACAGTTCTCGCAGGAATCCGGTGCATTGTGCGGTGTCCGAGTGTTTGGACTCCCGGCCCCACCCTTGGGGGCTCCGCCCCTAGTTATTCACCTCCCCCCCCTTACAGTCCCCCGTCCTCTAGCTGATGATTGTTTTTAATCCACAGCAGCCGTGGTTCAGCTTCCACTGAGGTTATTCTAAACACAATGTGCTGTTTTTTTGTTCCTAGCGTGCTCCACTCTCCCGTGTGAGGGAAAACGCCGTATGAACATCGTGCAAATATTGCCGAATTTCCCCTGATAAAAAATTATTTTGGAACTATTTTGCACGGATTCATCCTATTTTGTAGTTTCACTCCGTGCACTTGTTTTGTTTCGTAAAATTTATTCACACGCCCAAATTTTACAAACAATCAAGAAATACTTCTCAGAAAGAGGATTAGGAATGATCTTTAGGAAAATGCCATGTAATTTTACTGAAAAAGCGCTAGAAAACTTCTTGGTGCAAAACCTCGCGAAGTCAAGGAAATCAAGGAATAAAAAAAATTAAATTCAAGAAAACTTGTCATCCTGTCTAGACTAATCGACTTATTTGGCTTCTTCTACAAAATCTAGCCAGTGACTGTGCCTTCCATCAGTCAAGAACACTCTCAAATACTCATAATTAAAATTGTTCAAATAACACGAAATCAAGGAGAGTAGCATCAGTGCTGTAGTCCTCACGATAATAATATATCGGCAAATACTAATTAAAACAAACCAAATTTCCTCTTCGTTTTTAAAATCAACAAACAGGGATAAACACCAAAATCCCGTCTCAGGAATCGTCTCAAAAAAGTTCGCGCCAGGAGATCCAGGAGCAATCGCCCCGACGACCACACAAACTCAGGAGCGCGAAAAATAATCTTGCGGTCCAGCTTTTCCGCGGCGGCAGTTTTCCGAAGTGAGAACAGGGGTTGAAAAGCGGCGAGGTGATTATTTTTCCCGCTCCAGAGAGTCATCTTCCTGGAGAAATTTGCATATTTATCAGGTGTTTTGTCTTTGCTCCCGGCCCAGGTGCGAGAACCCCCGCCTCCGCTCCGGGTTCTGGGGGCTCTTTTACTTTGCCGTGCCAAGGAAAAACGCCGCATGAACCTCCAGGCGTTGCCAAATTTCCTTCGGTAAATAACGAATTTTCTGGAAAATTTGCAAATATTTTTCCTCCAATTTTTCAGATAATTTTGATCGCATTTTCACTTGAAGTTCCTGAAAATTTCAAGGAATAATATTTATAAATTTCCTCAAAAATAAACATTTTATCGAAGGAAATTTGGCAACTCTTGAATGTTCGTACGGCGTTCTTCCTTAGCACGGTAGTACCGGGAAGCCTCCCTAATTGAATTTTATCTTCATTGTCACACCGAGCCGCGTACCGGTAGCGGGGCTTGATTACGGTTTCACGGCAACCCTCTAATCATCCCTGTGTTTTTGTTGCAGGCAAATGGCGTGAAGGCGTACGTGAAGGTGTCGGTCCGGCAAAATGGGGATGATTCTATGGATGCTGACCACAGTCCTATGGAAGGCGGTTGAAAGTGTCGATCTTTGTAAGTGCTTTTCGTTTTTATTTTTCCTTAGTTTTAGTGTTTGGTTTTGCCTTCTATTTTTTCGTTACTTACGCGCTTGAACTTTCGAACAAAACGCTCCGGAAAATCGGAGAAGAAATTTCGCTTATTTTCTGAAAATTCCTTGTTTTTCGAAGGAAATTTTGCAACGCCTGGTAGCTCATACGGCGTTCTTCCTCACGCCATAATAGTACTTCCTTATCGCATGATGCACTCAATGTTTCTGAAATGATCCAGAAATTGTGGTTCCTTATTGCAACATGTAGTCCATATTATCTCCTCCCTGAGGACTTGAAACGCTATCGTGATGAGTTTCAGCCGAATCGGGCCATGGGACCACAATGTGGCTCGGCAGGCGGCCGGCCAGCGAGCAACGCGCACTGGCGCCTACAAACCCAAGGGGATACTTCAAGCATAGCGCAATGCGCGAAGTATCCACTTAGGTTTGAAGGCGCCAGTGCGCGAATCGCACTGGCAACACGCCGCTCCGCTCTGTGTTATTAGGATCCTTCCAAAAAAACAAAAATATGATTTTTGTACAAAATTTCGGCCCAATCCAAAAAATGTCACTAATTACCAAAAACAAAAAAAAAAACAGGCACCCAAAAAATATGATGGCAGTACCGTTTGGATTCATCATATAAAAGGAAATGATATCAAAACGGCCCAATTTTCTCTTTCATGCCCATGCAATATACCAAACACCCCAACTTTTTTCACAAAAAAAAA